ATTCCAGCCATTTGACCTACTTGTAGATCTTGTCCTGCAGATCATTTTTGCTATTTACAGTTTCGCTCTATCTTTTATAGTTTTTAAGATAATAATAGTAGCAAAAATCACAGTAAATTGGTGAAAACATCATTTAAAGGCATTAACCCCAATAAGGAGACATCTTACAGTTTTGGGTCTAAATAGAGAAGAAAGTAGGTTGATCTTGGCAATTTGAACAGATTTTCATTATTCATAACGTTTTGCAAGGTAAAAGACAATACTTGCATTTCATCCTTTGTTCAATTTTTAGCCTTGGTGGCCATGCTGGTTAGCAGATGGGACCAAAGGACACATTCTTTTTAAAAAAATACCCAAGGATGATTGTGGCCAACTTTGGTTCCAATTGGTCTATTACTTTGTTGTAAAAGTTAACAGGCAACAGATGCCAAGTGATCAGAATAACTCACACTGGCACCTTTGGCAAGTTAAAAGTGCAGAAACATTGTGGAATGTTCTATGCCAAGGGCCACAACTTCTGAAAAGTAGAATGCACATGCTGAAATGTCTCACCTGTGAAACTGATTATGAATGAACCATTACAATGAGATCAAGGTTAAATAAAAAGTACAAGATTGACATGAATACATAACAACCATTATACTCATAAAATAGAGCTTGCAATATCTGAGAAACAGACCTCATCGCGAAAACCTTAATGTTGACAAATGAAACAAGAAAATGAAGTCAAGGTCAGAAGAACCCCTCTAGAGAGAAATGTACACATTAAAATCATTCCATGAACAAAATATAGTTTATCTACTGCTTATAGCATCAGAGAAATATACCTTTTGAACACTAAATGTTGATCACTTATCCATGAAATGAGGCAAAGGTCAGGCGAACCCTAACTTGACAGGTATATCTTACTTGTATCGTATATACCTAATATAGTCATGATAACAGAAATAAACTGCTTCGCCAAGCGCAGCTGGATACGACCGCAGAGGTCCAACCCTGAACAGTTGGGGCAAAAATGGACACAATATTCAAGCTTGATACAGGTCTGAATTTGGATTGTAATTAAATATTTGACACATTATAGGTTTCTGACACAGAATAAATGTAGTCAAAGAACTTAAAATTGGTTATATGATCAATTGAAGATTTCTTGCTTTTGTGGAATACACTGTGCTGTTGCGCAATACTTAGTAAATCTGTTTTCAGACTATATACAAAGAATTAGCAATTGTGACCCCCAATTTTTCTTTGGAAATTTGACAATTTCTTAAATCTTGAAGAAAAAAAATTAACACCCCCCCCCCCCCTCTCCCAACCCCCAATAATTTTTTTTTATCCCCCCCTTTTTCCAAAAATAAATATTTTTGAAGAAATTTTCTTAATTTTTTAAATTTTGCAGATAAAAAATTGTCCCCCCCAAACAATTTTTTTTAACCCCTCCCCCCCCCCTTTTCCAAAAAAACATAACTTTTGAAGAAAATTTTCTTTTTGTAAAATGTAAAATGTGGTACATTTTAAAAGACATCAATACACTTAAACACAAGTTATTGTCTGAAAACTAGAAAAATGCTTGTTTTAGACCTTTTTTGGCCCCTAATTCCTGAATGGTTTGGACAATTACCCCCAAAATGATTCCCAACCTTCGACTTGTGGTATTGAACCTTGTGGTACAATTTAAGAGCAATCAATATACTTGTACACAAGTTATTGTCCTAAAACTAGAAAAATGCTTGTTTTGGGCTCCTTTTTGGCCCCTAATTCCTAAACGGTTGGGACCATCACCCCCAAAAACAATCCTAACCTTTCTTTAGTGGTATTGAACCTTTGGTAAAATTTCATAGAGATCCATACACTTAAACTTAAGTTATTGTCCGGAAACCAAATGTCTTTGGACAACGACGACGACAACGACGACATGATAGCAATATATGAGCCCAAAATTTTTTTGCGGACGTATAAAAATCAGTTCACAAAAAGACTATTTTTTTAAGCACTTGCAGAACCATGAAAATTAGGTAGAAGACAACCAACATATGCCAGATGGAAACTTCAGGACATGCTCATCCCTGAGGCATCAAGGCTTCATGTTTTTTCTAATAAACTGTTATCACAGAGATATGTCTTGCTTTTTTGTAATTTCAATAATGCAAATGTTGAAATTAAAATAGCAACACTTTAACATGTAAGTTTTGCAAATATTCAAAGTCAATGAACCATGACTGAAGGTACATGGCTAAAAAATCTCCATGGAAATGAGATGTGCCAATGCTAATACAACTGCATACCAAATACCATTGACTTGTCATTAGAAGTTCCCTTTAAACAAACCTAAACACAAACTAATACATGTAAACTAAGCAAAATTTCAAAGTCAATAAACCATAACTGAGGGGGCAGGGTCAAATAATCTCCATGGTAATGAGATGTGCCAATGCTAATACAACTGCATACTAAATATCATTGACCTACCACTAGTGGATCCCCATAACCGACCTAATCACAAACTAATACATGAAAACTAAGTGAAAGTTTCAAAGTCAATAGACCATGACTGAGGGGGCGGGGCCAAATAATCTCCATGGAAATGAGATATGCCAATGCTTATACAACTGCATACCAATTATCATTAACTTACTACTAGTGGTTCCCCATAAACTGACCTAATCACAAACTAATACATGAAAACTAAGCAAAAGTTTCAAAGTCAATAGACCATAACTGAGGGGGCGGGGCCAAATAATCTCCATGGTAATGAGATGTGCCAATACTAATACAACTGCATACCAAATATCATTGACTTACCACTAGTGAATCACCATAAACTAGACCTAATCACAAACTAATACATTGTTGACGCCGCCGCCGCCGTCACCGACGCCTGAAACAGCATACCTATGTCTCACTTTTTGACTCCGTCAAGTGAGACAAAAATGGATATTTTCAATGTTCATGATGTTTTAGCGATATAAATTTCACAAAAAGTTAATCTAGAACGTAACTCAAACTTGTTCTGTAACTTCTCATAGCACAATTTTATATACCAATTATCAAAACTGACATTTAAAGCAATGTACTATGTTCTAGGTAAAACATCCACAAATCTTCGCTTAAACTATATCTGTAACTTCTTATGATATAACTTCATACCAACCATCTAAACAGTTAGTTCTGGCATTACAGAACTAGAGGCTCTAAAGAGCCTGTGTCGCTCACCTTGGTCTATGTGCATATTAAACAAAGGACACAGATGGATTCATGACAAAATTGTGTTTTGATGATGGTGATGTGTTTGTAGATCTTACTTTACTGAACATTCTTGCTGCTTACAATTATCTCGATCTATAATGAACTTGGCCCAGTAGTTACAGTGGAAAATATTTTGTAAAAATTTACAAAAATTTACAAAATTTACGAAAATTGTAAAAAATTGACTATAAAGGGCAATAACTCCTTAAGGGGTCAATTGACAATTTTGGTCATGTTGACTTATTTGTAGCTCTTAATTTGCTGTACATTATTGCTGTTTACAGTTTATCTCTATCTATAATAATATTCAAGATAATAACCAAAAGCTGCAAAATTTTCTTAAAATTACAAATTCAGGGGCAGCAACCCAACAACGTGTTGCCTGATTGGTCTGAAAATTTCAGGGCAGATAGATCTTGACCTGATAAACAATTTAACCCAATGTCAGATTTGCTCTTAATGCTTTGGTTTCAGAGATATAAGCCAAAATCTACATTTTACCCCTATGTTCTATTTTTAGCCATGGCGGCCATCTTGGTTGGTTGGCCGGGTCACCGGACATATTTTTTAAACTAGATACCCCAATGATGATTGTAGCCAAGTTTGGTTTAATTTGGCCAAGTAGTTTCAGAAGAGAAGATTTTTGTAAAAGTTAACGACGACGGACGACGAAGACGACGGACGACGACGACGACGGACGCCAAGTGATGAGAAAAGCTCACTTGGCCCTTTGGGCCAGGTGAGCTAAAAAGGTGGAAGAATCTAATATTTTCAAGCAATTTTGTATGTTCAAGTACCACAACGTTAGCAAAAATGGCTCAACCATTATGAAACTCAAACTCTATCAGTAATTTCTTATGAATTTTGTTTGTACCAAATATCTATTCAACAGCTTGAAGCATTACAGAAAATAATGCAAAAAATTACCTGGCTGAATGAAAACAGAGGGACTAATGGATTGACAAAGGGCAAACCTAAAGTCCACTTAGGCTTTCCTGGTAGGGAAGTAATTATGAACATTTCTGAAGTTAATTAAGTAAGTCACCCCAATTCATCGTTTGCGGGGGACATGAGCTCTTTTTTAATATAAATGTTAAATTTTCTAGGAAAAATAATTTTTTTTGGAAGAGAAATAAAAAAAATAGTTTATTTATTTTGAAAATTAGTAAAAAGAATATTGATTTAAAAAAAAATCTTATTCCTGTATCTCCCAATCTGTTCTGGTACTCATTTAATGTTAGATCTAGTAAGATGTAAATCCAATGTGCATCTGTTTCAATGCTTACGAAATATCATCTAATTGCATGAATATAACTGATCGATTGATTGATTGTTGGTGCTTAACGCCACTATTGGCTATATTGTGGCATTCAGTTTTTATTGATGGAGGAAGCTGGAGTGACTAGAGAGAACCACTGACCTTCAGCATTTAAAATGACAGTCCTAGTCAATTAAGATTGGAGTTGAACACACCTGCAAAGTGTGGGGTTCGAAATCACAACCTCAGTGTTGAAAGGCTAGTGATACAGAAGATAAACTACTTAGACCACTGGGCTACCAAGGCCCCTGAATAGAACTGGATGTACATGAAAAGTGCAGCCTACTTTATGTTTTTACTTTGTAAACAACAGTTTGATAGACAGATGAACAAACATTAGCGTTCACCCTTTAAGTGGAGTTTGTAGGGATGTGAGAATTAACATATAAGCAAAGTACAGTAAGCAAATACATTTTATTACAAAACTCTCTTATTGAAACTTAACAATATTCTTTAATTCCATTCTTATCATTAAACAACAGTCAGATAGTAGATTTAAAATCAAATACCAGTACTTGCAAATCATTCCCAACTTCAGAATTTTAAGCATTCTAGGTAAAATTTTCATAAACTGCTAACACAAATAGATATATCATGCCTGTGTAAACTAATCCCAAATTTTTATCATTTGTTGATGTCGCTTAGGCTGGAAGCTGTAAGCCTTAGTCTAGCTTCCACAACTTTTGTTGCAGACCAGGAAAAAAACCTATACTAAAATGTTGTGATTAGTTAAAAATATTGGAAATTCAACCAACAGCATGATACTACTTTCATTTCTGGGAATAAACAATGGAATAAATTACCCATAGTCAGATGGAATTTGAAATGGCAAATAACATTAGAAAGCAACAAAATCCATCTATTCCTTTAACTCTAAAAGCTTCATATTCTAGATTATAGTTGTCCAGTTTATTGTCCTGCATAAAATTCATAAACAATATCGTCCTTCAAACTTTCAGAAGTTGTTTGCAGTCTTGGTACCTATTAACTTTTCCTTTTTTTTTGCATACATCAGGCAGGTTCCTCACCTGTAAACTCCTACAATATGAAATCATTACGTTTGTTGAATGCAACAATATAATATTTCATGTTATAATATAAAATAAAATATTTCATGTAGATTTCTTTCTAAAATAAATATGCAATATTTGCCTATATTTTTACTGGTCAACCTTTATATATTTACCTAAAAAAGTAGAACATTTCTGAAGATTTAAAAATATTGCATATTGACCAATATTGCATTCCATTTTCTATATGTAAGGTACAATTAATATTTCCTTAAAGTAAGCGTATTTTCAGCATTTTGTTGAAAAAACCTATGCGCATCAAGTATGCAAAAAAAAATTTCCATGGAGAAAAGGGTTAAAGTTTGGTACCCATTGGAGAGGTTCACAGTAAAACGATATTTACACCCAAGCAGACGATAGATAAACATGATGGTTGAAATTAGCATTGCCTCTATACTGAAAGCATCAGATCTGCAGAATGTTAATGAAATATTTAAAACTATATCAATCATAAATATTGCACTAATATTGATCTTCGGCTCAGAACAATATTCTTCAATATTAGTGCAATAACCCTATTTCTCTAATTCTTTGGAAATTTAACCCTTTCTGGACCCATTGTATAAAAAAATTTAACTAGACATCATTGAGATGGGAGCCATCTCTGTGGGCCCCACTGTGAATAACGTGTGGTAAAAAAATTGTATCTTTACCATAGGACATGGGGTTGTCATCTGAAACCAAAGTTTTTTACCTTGACCTTTGACCTAGGAAGCTGTACATACATTATGACATACCCTCTGGTGTTGGTTAATATACATGTCAAGTATAAAGTATGAAATCATAACGGTTCTCAAGATATAGATGGGACACAATTTGTTACGAACGGACGGACAGACGGACAGACATATACAATGTATATACCTTTCTCACCAGGTTTAAATTCATGCATCAAACATAAGTTCTTCCTTAACATCATTATTATTTATCTGTACAAACTATTTGCACATGTGTTATTTTCGCTCATATTAGGTGATCACGAGATATTCAAGTAATTATTACTCATGCGCAAAATATTTTCACGTTTACAGTAATCTGTAATCAAAATTTTCAAGGATCAAAGAAAATAACAAAATAAAAACCAGTTTAGAAAAAGAATAAGTTTTCTGTGACTATTTGGTTGTTAACTAATTACCTGCTTAATGGTATTTTCTAATAAAACAAGACACTGGAGAGCAAGTCTTTTAGATTCTGTGTCAGGATCTTTCTGGACGACATCTGAAAAACCAATATATATTAACTATGTGAACAGTAAATCAATAAGAATGAAAAAGGATGTGTGGTATACATTTTTTTGTATATTAATGAGGCAGCAAGTGGACCGTAGATGAATTTGGCTTTTTTTTTAAGGTCCCTTTTGGTCATTTGGCTCTACACATGTTTAGGTCTTATACATCCTTAGCTTTCAAATGTTTAGGTTCCTGGTGAAGACAAATCCAGAAAAGCATTTGAATGCACGAAATTAATAGTGTTTTTGTGTTATTTTCATTGAACTAAAAAAATCAGAAATTATATGTATGGTTTTTCCAAAGTTAGTCAGCAGTATCACAGGATTTAATAAAAATTTATAGTAATGATTGACAGGTGGGAGACCTTTGATCTTCGTTAAAAGAAGGCCACTGAAGAATCATTTTACCTTCCAGCCACTGTTTTGCTTCCATTATTTCTGACTGAAGTTGAGACAGTAAAACATGGCCTGGTACTGACAGCATCACCATTGACAAACAGAACAATATAGAATGTCTCACACTTCTAAAAATAAAATATTTATCTTATTTCATATAACATAAGAAAAGTTAAATAAAAGAAGAGAGTTCCAATGTCCCCCCTGTTGCACATATTTTATTTGTCCAAGGCAATAACAACAAAATACCCCAAAAAAACCTTTTACTTTGTTCTTTAAATTTTTTTATAAATATCTTAGAGAAACAAAGGCTTGAGAGCAAATGCATGGCAATTTCCGATATAATTAATATTTCCAAGGGGCATAATTCTTTAAAAAATATTTGAATAGCACTGATTTTAAAAGATGTCGAAGACATTGCTGATATAAACCTTTAATATAAATTTCATATAAATCTGGCAAAAATTGTACACATGAGAGTGCTTGCAATGCACTTTTCCATGTAATTAATATTTCCAAGCAGCATAACTCTTTAAAATATAATTGATCGGCACTGATTTTCGAATTTATCCAAGACATTGCTGATATAAACCTATGATATAAGTTTTATAAAAATCTGACAAGATTGTACACATGAGAGCCCTAACACAACTGGAAGCAAGGATGTAAAGACACCCTGACAGACACTCAGCATTTCGATTTCTCCAGCAATGTGTTACGCAAGTTGGGCAAAAATTTTAAAACTTTAAAAATAATCTATTAAAGAATGAGTTACAGATTTTCATGCACACAACACATACTTCTAGAATAAATTTCCTCCATTATCTCAAAGCCAAAAAGTTTAAAAAGCCAAAAATATAAAAATTTCAGAGCTTAAAAAACCAATAGCACCTAAATAGAACAAACAGAACTGTCTCAGAACAACTTTGCCTGCATGATATGCAAGTGTAGATTGTAAAAATTACATAACTTTATGAACTGGATAAATACAAACAAAATGTATCATTTAAATTCTGCAAATATTATAGCATTGTCTACTGGGTGGAATTTACCCTATGTGACAGATAGTCCATCAGCAGTTGTATCAATCTAGTGGACAGGCAGTAAAAACTTTCTTTTTTCAAATAAAATACAAAAAGACCTATTACACTGTTATTTCATCAAATATGTCACAATAACTTGATATGGTGTTCAGTATTTCAGTATGTACTGGATAAATATGCAAAAAAAACATTTAAGACTAGGTACCCCCATAAGCCTGGTAATCTTATAACTAGTCACATATATTTATAGTTTTATGCTTTTTTTGCATTAAATGTATATGTTTGTACAACATCCATTTGAATGTGCCTTGGTGGTGTAATTCAAAATTTGCTGTAGACAATTTTATTTTATTAGATATTCTTCCCTTGTACTTCAATAGCCTAGCTTCACATATAAAAAGTATTACCATGTTCCAATGACATATACAGTTAAAACAAATTTAGATTGGTAGGTTAGGAACTTTTTCACACAGCAATGTTTTAAACTACTTTCACACAAAATTCCTACATTACCCTGCGTTCTCTAAAGAAATTGTACTTTGAGAAAAAACAATTACTCTATTTTTATTGTTAATTGTTTGGATAACATATATTTTCCAGAAAATTTTTGCAGAGAGCATGCCAAACATGAAGAGTCTCATTTGGAAGGGAGATAATTTGTCACCAGTTTTTCAACTGTATATACTTAATAATTTAAAGTAAATTTTGTTACTTTTAAATAAACTTACTGATCCTGATGAAAACGTAAGATCCAGAGGAATTCTAACAAAACAGTCGCCATCTGTTTGACTGTCTGTAGGAAAAAGAAAAGAAAAACATTAATTATAAAACCTTAAAATAGTTTGGCAAAAAGAAAAGTACAAATTTCCAGTAGCTTTCATCAATTTTCTTAATTTGTCTTTAAATTGTTCAGGCTTACCTGAAAAATAATGGCAATGTCTTGAGCTTTGGGTTGGTTAGAAAAGTGACCACCCTTGTCTAATAGAGATATTGAAATTTCAAAATTAAGTATGTCCACACAAAAATTGTTTATTGTATAAGAAAAATCAATTTCCATGTCATACTTTGGGAAAACATAACTAAAATGCTTGTGCTAGTTTAATCATGAGTGCCACTAGTGGAGCAGAAACTGCTTATCCTTCTGAAGCACCTGACATCACCCCATATTTTTTGGTAAGGATTGTATTGCACTATCTTTTAAGTATTCGTGTGGTGTTTCCTGGACTGTTGTTTGTCTTTTTGACAATTCTCTTTTTTGCCATGGTAATGTCTGTTTTTATCAAGTTGGTTTTTTGATTGCCCATTTGTTTATCTTCTCCATCTTCTTTCTCCTATGAACTGTTGACCTTAGAACAAAATAATGTTATTTATGTAGAACAAACTCTTACTCCTCAGTTAAATAATGAGCCAGAAAAGTATCTTCAAGGAAGGCTGAAAACAAAGAAAATAAATTACCAGGGTCCTCATTAGATCAATCATGTTCTATGTTTGTTTGAAAGCATAAAAACTGAACTTGGCATTTAATGACACATGAAAATTTACAAAAGTGAACATGCTGAAATGTCTCACCTGCTTTACTTATGATTAAATTTAGAGTGAAAGTCCGTAAAATGAAGATTTTACTATAAGTATCACATGAACTTAATGATATCAATGGTCATAAAAATGAAGTCAAGAAGTCAAGATCAGATCAACCATGCCAGACAGACATGTACACATTACAATCATTCCATACACCAAATAAAGAGGTCCTTTTGCTTATAGTACCGGTATCTGGAAAACAGAACAAACCACAAAAAATTTACATTTACCAATGAACCATGACAATGATGCCAAGGTTATCTGAATCCTACCTGATAGAAATGTACACCTTCCAATCATTCCATACACCAAATATAGTTGACCTATTGCTTACAGTTTCTTATAAACTGACAAAACCATGAAAACTTAACATTGACCAATGAACCATAAAAATGAGATCAAGGTCATGTGGACCCTGCCAGACAGACATGCATACCTTACAATCATTCCATAACCATATATAATTGACTTATTGCTTACTGGTATAGTATCTGATAAACTGACAAAATCATGAAAACTTAACATAGACCAATGAACCTTAAATTAGGTCAAGGTCATATGAGAACTGCCAGACATGTACACTTTACAATCATTCCATACACAAAATATAGTGGCCCTATTGCTTATGGTATCTGAGGAATTGACCAAACCACAAAAACTTTGTCTAGTGAACCATGAAAATGAGGTCAAGGTCAGATGAAACCTTCCAGCTGGACATGTACACCTTACAACCATTCCATACATGACTGGTTTTAGTATCTGAGATATGGACTTGACCATTTAAACTTAACCTTGATCACTAATCCATGAAATGAGGTTGAGATCAGGTGAACCCTGTCTGAAAGACATGTAGACCTTGCAATGAACCCATATATCACATAAAGTTATCCTATTACTCGTAATAAGTGAGTATTTTACATGAAAAGAAACCTTTTTTTTTTTTTTGCAAGCAATCACGTAACTATGAAAATCAGGTCATGGTCGTGTGACTGACGGAAACTTCGTAACATTAAGTATCTGCATACAAGGTATGAGGCATCCATCCTCTGAAATATAAAGCTTTATACTAATAGTTGACGCTGACGACAGATTGTAATCCCTGTCTTGCATTCTCAGACTTTTTTTGCAGGCAAATTTATTCCATCAAAAGTGGACCACCTAATATTCAACACACCATATAAAAGGATAATTTTCAACCCTTTTGATCCCTTATAGATAAAAATGATAACACCTACTACAATAAGTACATTAATGATTACTACCAACAAAGCCCTGATAGCAGGGACTAATATTGATCAGTAAGTCTTGACACTCTAGTTCTCTGCAAGTGAGAAACCATATAGTGTTGTGTCTTGATTAACCCCCATTTGACTGTTTGTCCATTTGTCCACCTCCAGGTTAATTTTTTTTAGTAAAGTGTCAAGCTTAAAATGATGTAAAGCCAATGTCATATCATGAAATAATTCACCAGATTGAGAAAAATAATTCATCCAGTTATAATTTTCAACTTTGAAACTTTCCCTGCACTTGTACTGAAACCTACCAATACTTAGTGCACTAACAAGATTTCTTTTTATATTTCAGTTGTCATATTATAATCGGGTGTTTTTACACAGAAATTCAAAATTCCCTTTGCAATATTATAAATATTATTCAGGTACAAGAGACAGTGTTGTCTAAAATATATGTACAATATGGCTAAGTTAATGTGAAAAAAATATTCTTAAATTTGTCTTTACTTTTATATCAAATGCCCAAGCAACAATGAAATGGAGAGAAAACAATTAAGAAATAAATATATCTATTCTACTCACAGGTGAGTTAATAGCAGAATACATGACTACTCCTAAAGTGTAGATTAGTCTGCCTAGTACAAGGCTATCTTCTCCTAACATGTCAAACGTGTTCTCCTTTCTACAAAATACAAATTTAAATAAGGAATTGCAACATTTTGTTTTCTTTATAACTATTTTAAGCCAATATCTTTCCCCCAAATATTCTTCTGAAGCACAGGTAAAATCTGAGACTCCAATCTCATGTGCAATCATTCCACATCTCCTTATTCATTTATTGAGTTAATATGAGGTGCTCGTTGAATTTTTCTCTGTTAATTTCATGTAAATCTGGAAAGACAAACCTTAAATATGTCAAAATTAATGCAATCCTCTTTTCATGGAATTAAACACTGTGTATGTTTGATATATTTTATCATTATTAAGATACAACTTAAAATTGTATCTCCAAATTTTCATATTCACTAAAATCTCATGAGTGACGATGACTCGTACAGTATCAACAGATACCAACAAGTTCTTGCCTCAATGTAGCATTTAAATGCTAAGGTGGCATTAAGAAACAATCAATCTTTCATTAAATGTTCTGTTAGAGGTAAGCATTTATGTTAATGGTACAATTTTCAAGAAAGCATACCAGTATGTTTGAGTTGATTTCAAAGAGAAAAATCAATGCAACAATATTTTCATTCATAGAAATATCCTCAAACAGGAAAAAACCTCTGTACCTGTCAAATCTTGTCATTAGTGGATAGAAAAAATGACCAGCCACTGGAGCAAATCTATTCATAGTTTTCTGTAGTTCTGGCTTACTTTTCCCCTTACTGAACTTCCTAGTTTTACTTTCTATCCTCTTCTGTACAATACTCTGCCAGGTATCTTCCTCAACCTCTACAATCTTTTTATCAGAGGTATTTATGACTGGTTGTTCTGCAGGCTGTGATAGTTCTTGTGCTGCTGATGCTAAAACCTGCAAAAAAAAATTTGATACATATACAATATATGTACATTGTAAGAAAATATAAAATTGATTGTACTCGCTATGAAACAGGACAAAATCTCAACCAGCCTTGCTTTTCTTCCTGTTTCATAGCAAGTACAAATAAATCTTTATTCAACAATGTATGTGTATTGTTTTACCCTGCAATTTTATGCTTTCGCATTCATGGTCACTTTTTTTCCTGACGTCACAATAGCAAAATCAGAGGTAAGCAAGAAAATTTGAGGTCATAATTGAATGTTGACCAATGAAGAACTGAGATCATAAACCATAGGTTGATTATGAAAAAAAAAGTAAAAATCAGCTAAGATTTCGGGAAAATTTAATCAAACACCAGTGTTTATAAATTCATACAAGTACACAGCAGTCATATGTGTACTGATTGATATTTTAGTCTTAGATACATGATTTTTTGTATAATTGTTATTGGCTTTTGAACTAGCTGTCAATAACTGTGAGTATTCTCAGTCTTTTTTATTGTTAGGGATACATGTATATAAATACCCTGCCACGTTTTTGTGAGATTTTTTTCTGCTTTGTATCCATCTGATGAGCTCAGCACTTTTCAACTGATTTTTATAGCTTGTTCTTATGCTATGCTGTAACACCACTGTCCCAGGTTAGGGGAGGAATGAGCACTCACAAGCATGTTTAACCCTGCCACATTCAGGAGCCTGTAGTTCAGTGGTTTGTCGTTGGTTCATGTCTGTCATATTTGTTTTTCGTAAAATATTTTGTTATAAGTAAGGTTGTTAGATTTCTCAATTGAATTGTTTCATATTTTTCATGTCAGGGCCTTTAATAGCCAACTATACTGTATGGGTTATTCTCATTGTTGAAGGCCGTACGGTTGCCAATAATTGCTTACAACCACTTCATTTGAACATTGGTGGATAGTTGTCTCATTGGCAATCATACCACATCTCTTTATTTTTATATATATATGTACTGATAAACTTTATCATATACTTAGTACAGGCGATAGATGATATAAGAGTACTAGTGAAGGAGGGAATGATTTCATAAAAGCAGATTAAGCTATGTTTTTCTCTAGATATTATTTGCTTTTGTTTTGTAGGGTAACTGTCTCATTAATGTATACCCAACAACTTTTATTCACACAAAATGAATGAAACCAGTAATGTTATAGCTGCCAGAAACAACAAATCTTATCAAGCATAAGATGGATTATTTCATATGTTCAACCTTCTCCAACTTGAAAATTGTGGGTCGTCATTTAGATAAAACAAAGGAATTACAATAAAAATTCAATTTTTCTACTTTTTTATTAGCATCAATAACAATTCATAAAAAGTAAGAAGTTATCTACAATTATTATCACAGTAATTAGCACTATAACAGTTCAAAGTTCATTTGGATTTATAAATTGTTTATAACATTGCAAGGGTACGTAAATCAGTTGTACCATTCTTCTTTTTAAAACTTTCTCTGAATTTTAAAAGTTTTTTGACAACAGAATTTTTCCTTTCAACACAAACTTTTTCATCGCTGGAAGTAACAACAGGTTTCTTGAATACTTTATCATCTGCACTAGCTTTTGTTCTACAGCTCTGCATATTGACTCTTGTGCTACTACGTGGAATTGTTTTGGATGAATTGTACAGCGAGTTTTCTATGTTTAAACTGTCAGCAAATATTTCGTTCTTGTTGGTGGATTTCCTTGTTATCATAGACATTCCATTAATAGTCTCATTTGGAAGTAGTTTTGGTCTGGATGCCATCTTATAAGACATGACAGTGACCTTTGACATATGTTTTAAAGAATGGGATGGCCTGTTTGACCTTTTCTTCACAGTTCTCAAGTAAGATTCCTCTAAAGGCACATCAGTTGAGGAATGTTGAAGAGACCATGTAAACACACTTTCAGTATTGGTGTTTGTAACAGATGTTTCCTTTTCGTTCGATACACTTGAAGATATTGGCTTCATCTGAATGTCTTTTATCTTGATTACAGGTGAAAAAGATTGCTTCCCTTTTCTCTCGGGAAACGGAATGTACAGCAACGTGGATGAAGCTTTTGGAATAGATACTCCCCTACATATTGGTTTACATCTCTTTTCAGTTGGTTCTTCAATCATAGTGGAAGAGGCCAGAGGATTTGACCCTTGACCCTTTGATGATCCAAATGATTGTTTCTTCTCTTGGTTTCCATTAACAAAATTCCCAGCAATAAATGAGGTAGAAAACTGTAATGAATCATCAAGATTGTAAACATCCTCATCTTCACATCCTTCAACCTCCCTCTCAAAAAAGACAGTTTCATCCTCCTCATCAGATAGCTCAGTATCAGTGGACATTGGAGAGTGTTCTGCATGACTGCATCCATCAGATTGAAGTTGGTCTCTGTACGATGTGGAGTCATTTAAAGTGTTGATAAGCAGGCATTTCTGGATGTCTAAATCTGTTAATCCTTTAGGTGTAAGCATAAAAGTTGGGGTCATTTGGTCAACTGCTGCAAGATTTTTATTTGGTGTTACAGGAAACTGTGACTGGTTTATCCCAGCAGTGGACAGGATATCTTTGAATTGTTGTCGTAACTCTTCAAAATCGGTTAAGAATTCTTGTTCTTGTCTTTTGATAGCAAGCTGAATAAGAAAAAAAAAAATGTTTTTAAAAAAAGTTGAAGTTACAAAATTTATATGGCTATATCTAATTTCATCATTCACACATAAAATATCTAACTTTATTGTTAACACAGAAAAAATTTCTGATTTCATTGTTATCACAGAAAATATCTAATTTCATTGTTGACACGGATATTATTTGGGTACATTTTGTTTTTATTCCTGGTATGACAAGGAAATTTCATAAGAAATATTGAAAAGTAAAAATATGCAAACAAATCCATTATATAACTCACCATATTGGCTTCTAACATTTGATAATTTTCATTTTGGAAGTCATTCTGCACATCTGCATCTTTCAAAGTCCAATCTAAAAATAGAGAAGAAAATAAAATATGATAACAATTTGTTGTTTTAATGCACATTTAATTCATAAAAAAAAACTGTTATTTACCATGGACTATTTTCTGAACAGTAAAAATTGTAAATACTTATTTCTTAATAAATTTGAAAGATAAATCATTTTTTTTTTTAACCAATTAAATTTCAAGGGAGATCTAAAAAGATCCTACATTTTCAATAAAAGATAAAACTCACCATTTAAATCATTCAAGTTCTTCATGACTAAATCTTCTCAGATATTGTTACTTGTAAGTAGTGAATATGTATAACTTGTAGATTATCAGATAAAGAGAAGAAATTGCAATTGATGAAATATGTAGATTTTAGATAACATTTATACCAAGGCTATAAAACTGTGTGAAAATTACTTACAAGTAATTATTACACATTACATATCAATTAGTACTTAATGCAGTCATCAAGTACTTGTTAATTGTGTATCTTTAGGTAAAATTAACAAGTACTTAATTTAATGAATCAAGTACTTGTAATTTGTACCTTATGGCCAATTGATATTAAATTTTGTGTTAATTAACAATTCTGTTAGTGTTAATTAGCTATAAGAAAGTTGACACATTTTTTTAAGTAAAAAAATAAGTTAGATGTAATTGCATGATTAATTAACAAAAGTGCTTTTAATTTGTATTGTTCAAAAGTAAACATTAACAAAGAAATTGGTCACATTTTGATTTCATTCCTAGCAATACAAGGAAATTTCATAAGAAATGTTTAATCTCTTTGAAAGGTCTTTAATCCAACCATCCCTATTCATGTTTAATAGGAATTGGAAATCAGATAATATTTTGATTCATTTCCTTTCCTCCATCAAGATGTCCTGTCATTTCTTCTTTTAAAGTAAATTTTTTTAATTGATTGAAAAAAGCTTGTTTGTCATGATTTCTCAGATCTCAGCAAGTGTTATACATTCAACTTGCAGTATTTCATAAATTGAGTCTCCAAGGAGTCTGAATAATTCATCTGGATAATTTGGTTGGAAAGAAATGTAACAACATTAACATGACTTATTTCTTAAATGAGATGTTTAAAGTAGGACATTAAAGGGATATAAAAAAAATACTGGCAACTATATAAACAAAAAATTGTGCAAGTTTTGAAAATTTCAAGATTTTAAGATGAAAAGAATTTCACTGGTTATGCTGTGCCACCTCTGTCACAAAGTTTGCCAAAAGAAAAATATTAAAGCAATACTGAAAACTGGGATTTTTCACTGCTATCATGTTTGCTCTTATTTTGTACTGAGTGTGAAAATTGTACATACAAATAAAACATTCAACAAAAAGATTAATGCAAGATTTAAAAAAATAACAAAAGATGAGTAATGAAATTCATCAATAATATTAGCTCATAAATGAAATGAGCATTAGCTACAAGTGAGACAAAAAATTAAAATAGGATTTTTTTCTTTCAAACATTAATAAAAGTTGAATATAGCAATTAAAGTTGGTTAAGGAAGTTTGCTGATCTCATTTTTGACTATTCAGAATACTTTGGGTTTCTCCATGTAGTGCCATTAAAAATTTTGCCCGCTAACCACTATCTTTCTTTTCATAATTTTATTACATATTGTTTAAAAAGCCCTTTTTTAAAAATCTTATAAAATCCTTGTTATTTTTCAGTTTTTGAAAGAAAAATGTCCTATGTTAGATGTTTGAAAAATCTAGAGATAATAATTTGCCGCCAAATTTTCAATGGCTTAAATATCAAAAACCAGGACACAGACCTTTCATTTTATACTGCTTTTTTAGTTCCGTTATTTATATAATATCAATTTATAACAGTCTTTAAAAAGCTTACTATTTTGAAACAAAGGAGCAAACATTCTTTAAGTTTGAACTAGCAATTTCAAATAACTTAAAGAAGTCAAAAATGGGACTTTCCATAGAGGTTTAATGGAAAACTATGTGCAACCAATGCCACCATGATTTCAACCCAAACAACATTGAACAAGGATCACTTGTAAAG